CCCCGTCCTTGAATACCATAGGATCCCACCAGTAACACTTAAATGACAACATGGAGGAACATCACGGACGGCTGACTATACTGGTGATGGTCTCCCTGGTCCCGATCGGTCCTTCTGCAGAGTCATAGATTGACCTCAGTGTCAGAGTCACATGACCAGCTCTGAGGTCACCATAGCCCCCCCCCCCCCCCAGCTGGTTGCAGGCACTGAGCAGGAATGTATTACTCCCTGTAATAAAGACCTTCATGGTAATGCATGCTAAGGCATGCTAACTCTGTGGTCCGTGTGATTCCGGCGCCCCTACCTAGCCGGTGGGTCACCATGGCGAAGTGCAGCTTGAGCATCAATATTAGTGTCGTAGCTAAACGTCAGCTTGTGACCTCCCCACACACAGGCCCCACCCACATATACACCAAAAGGCCCGCCTTCTTCTAGGTGGATCCGTTATACATACCAAAAAAACGGCACCATGTTGGGTCAACAGAACAACAGAGTGATATTATATGGAGTTTATGATCCCCTAACTGCAGTACAGCGATTTGATCCACGGCAAAACGGCAGCGTGTGTCCCGCCACTTTAAAAGGCATGGCTTCTAGGCGACCAATCACAAATGTCGTCTCATTCTGAAGTTCCAGAACTGTCCAGCACGACTTAGCTCTGGCCAGGAGGAGCACATGGTGCTTTCACTGCCCTAATTCTGTACCCGGTTCCTCCCGCTACCTCTGCTATGAGAATCTCCACACACACCATTAGAAATTAGTTTTTCAGGTTAATATGCTGAGCTACCCACTAAAACAGGCAGAATGATCTCACCCTTCGCCGGATGTATCTGGGCACTTTCCTCCCAAGCAGGCTTCTCTACTCAGCATTCAGGATCGCTGTCCCACAAATTTAATTTGCCCCCCCATCCCGTCGCTCCAACTGTGAGTGTCACTTTAATAAATTAACGCTTCCCTCTTTCCGCTTGAGGTGAGCCTTTAGAAATTGAGCCGATCTCTGTTAATTAGAGAAGTTTTTCGTCCTGGAGAACTTGAGCAGAAGCTTCTCCTCCCAGCACATTTCCAACGCTGGGCTGGTGTATAGAATGATGGCCTCCCTTACTGGGAGGGCCGCTGCAAGTGCCTGACAGCTGGGCACGCTGCAGCTGATTTACTGGAGATTAGCTGTGTTCGGCCCTCGGTGTCCGCAGTCAGGATGTGATGAAGCGGCCTGCCCTCCTGACCCTGGTCATGGCGCCTGAGAGCCAGTGCTGAGTCAGAGCCCTTCCCGATGGACTCTTGTTTTGTTTATTTATCTGGTCTCAGTTTGGAGAAGGCAAATTGGATTTAAAAACTCTGGCATCAGATCTGTGGGCAAATCCATTCCCTGTAAATATGCTACCTGGGAATAAGGGGCTTTGGATATCTTCATAAATTTCGGGGCAGCTCCTTTTTGGCTCCACGGCTGAGTTTTTTTGGGGACACCAAGTGAAATTTTGAAGCTGTTACGGGCCACGCAGTACCTCAGTTCCAGGTGCTCTGTGCTGGGCGTATCTGCCTTTGGTTCTATGCTCCAGTATCAGCTTGGCAGCGTTGTGTGGCCCAGCAGGTTGATGATGATGATGCTGTATTTGTATCCGGAAGGTTGTTGGTTCAAATCCCTGGGTCACCAGAGTGATATCACAATTGGATCCCTAAGCAAGACCTGTAACCCCCCCCCCCCTTTTGCTCCTGGGGTCGTCTGACCCTGCCTATCCTTTTGTACTCCACAGACCTGGTAAGACATGCACTGTATAATGTCCCGTCTTCCTTTGACAGAGAGGAATTTTGTTTACATTCCCTGCCCTCTCTCCCATCAGCATCTGGGTCCAGTGTGACTTTGGGGAGAGGTCGGTCCTGGCTGTGCTTCTGGGGGTGGCTCTATATGACCTCATACCAGCTATAAGTGTATTGAGTTTAGACAGTAAGATGTAATACATCTTATACACATGCCACTTTAAATGTTTTAGACTTCAGCTAGCCTGGGAGCTGCTCACAGCTTGAGTAAACCCCCGTACTTCAAAATGACGCCTTTAAAAGATTTCCTGGCACTGCAAGGGCACCAGAAGGCTGCTGCTGAGATCAATTGTTTGGCCTCACAGCTTTCTGGCTGTGGATGCCTTCTGAGCGGGACGCAAACACACACACACGCAGACACGAGTGTTAGTTAAGGGCTTTTAAGGGGCTGGGAGACTGCAGGGCTGCAAATAGTTATGTCGACATCGCCAGCCCCAGAAAGGCGACTTACCACTTTCTGAGGGTGCATGGCAGCCCGAAACAACAAGAGATGTTGTTCAAAACTCATTCCCCTGTGCTTGACGCCAGAAGATCGTTGGTTCCATTCCCGGGGCTGCGTAGGTAGAACTGCATGATTACTGGGTTTATATGCAGCATATAGCCTTTTATAAAAAGATGTGTCGAGGAATTAATAACCAAATAACACTGAATAAAGTTACACTTTACAGACATGTAGAGGTAGGTATTTCACAGAGTGATTAATCTTTCATATCTTCTGACGAATTAGCTAGAACATCTGGGGATTTGAACCAGCAACCTACCGCATCCTTACCCACAACTACACCAAGTGATTACTTGATGCGCAGCCCAGCTACAGACCCTCAGCCAGCATTTTTCATGCCCCCGTTCACCCTCTTCTAAGGGGGCCTTGCTGTTATATTTTACTCTATCTTGTTTTCCAGTGTCCCTGATGTCAGTTGCCATGCTGACAGCTATCTTGAAACATGGCTTTCGAAACGGATCATTTGACCAGCATATAGCTTTCCTCACTTGTTACAACCCGGTGTGCCCCAGATGTTCTTATTTCACCTCTACAGTGCTCCATCTTGAATACATCTAAGCTACATCTGGTCATATTGCTCAGCCACCAAAATAACAAATTACACGTTTAGTCTAGGACAAGGGGTGTCAAACTCCAGTCCTGGAGGGTCGGAGCCCTACACATTTTTGGGTTTCCCCTCATTTAACACACCTGATTCAACAACTTCTGCTAATTGCCACACAGCTCTTGAGCTGAATCGTTTGTGGTGGAACAGGGAAAGAACTAAGCTACACAGGGCTCCGGCCCCCCAGGACTGCAGTTTGACACCCCTGGTCTAGGATGTTCCTAAGACTGCATCTGGTAGCATGGGAATGTGAGAGGATGTCTGCATCCCAGCTTCTGGCCAGAATGTTGGCTGAGATCTCCCTGGAACATTCTTGGGTATCTAGGTTACAGCATCCACAGTCTTTTGCCAAGTGATTGGTGGACCGAAGGTCCGAAGGGTATTTTTATAAATGACGAAATGTGTTTGTATACTAGCATGGAGTAGTGTGCTGATTCTAAGCCTGTACCAAAATAGCAACTCTCTACATCTGGGGCAATGTTTTCTGATAGAAGTTTCTCAAGAGTGGGTATTTTGTTCCCCCTTTTCAGAATAGAGCTGCCCAAAGAATATGCCTGCGTACATTTCGGATCTTTCTTCATGAATTAAATGTGCATCCAGACAGGCATAGTCGCAGTCACCTGATTCTCCACCCCGTCTGTGTGTCCTCCCGTCTCCTCCTCTCCGATTCCTCGCCATAGGTCATGTGGGTGTGCAACCTGTGCCGCAAGCAGCAGGAGATCCTCACCAAGTCGGGGGAGTGGTTCTCGGGGCAGGGGGCCAAGCCCAACGCGTTGGGCGCCGCCCACAGCGACCCGGCCATGTTTGACAAGAAGGTGCGCTCCAGGTCGCAGGCCCCGCTGAACTCGGGCCCCGGGCTAGGCCAGGATGCACTGCCGCCTGCTACGGCTGACCGCCCCAAGGGCCCCGATGCCGGCCAGACGGGGGCCCCCACCTCCCGGTCCCGGAGCGAGCCCCCCAGGGAGAAGTACGTGCTCTCGCCTGTATAGTTATTCTAGTTATCATACCCCAGGTTAGTCCACTAATGAAACAAGTGCTGCTGGTCCTGATACCAGTTTAGTCATGAACCCAGACTAACTAATTATCTATCTATCTATCTATCTATCTATCACCGTTTCCCTATGTGATTCCACGCAGAATATCGCTCCTGACTATTAAAATCAGAAATAAAAAGTTAGTTACTCTTCTTACTCAAAATCCAAAGTGGGGTTGAAAGTTTTAACCTCCAAAAGCCTTTAATTCCTCTGATTCTTCGATGGTTAGTAATGGCTGACAGTCCACTGCGGGGTACTGATGCTCTGAGGCGATTAGCCAGCACGGCTCTCGTTGAGCTTCGTTCCGCTTTGCTCGCTGACGACGCCGACACCTTCCGCATCTGCCGTGTCACCCCAATTCGCAGGAAGAGGCCCGTGTCGCTCCACGAGCCCGTCACCAAGACGGGGCCGCGAGGGGAGAGGCGCAGGGGCCTGGGCAAGTTGCAGTCGCACGCCTCCGAGGACCTGAGCCAGCGACGCGAAGCCCCCCGCCGGCTGGAGAAGGTACGCTCACAGGACTACAGCGTGGGGGGGGAGGCGGGCCGGCCGGAGCCGAGGCCACGGCAGCCGGAGGGCGAGGCGGAGCGGCAGCGGCGGGAAGAGGAGTTTCAGACGCGCTACCGCAGCGACCCCAACCTGGCGCGTTACCCGGTGAAGCCACAGCCCGAGGAGCAGGAGATGCGCATCCACGCCAAGGTGTCCAAGGCACGGCACGAGCGCCGGCACAGCGACGTGGCCATCAACGAGGTGGGGCTGCAGCCGAATGGGGGCCCCAGGGAAGGCAGCCAGGGCCGACTGAGCAGGAGGGCCGTAGGCGAGGGCGAGCGTAAGGCACCTCTGGAGAACCACCGCTCCTACTCTGTAGACAGGACCGTGGGGGGGCCTGCCTCCAAACCCAACCACATCCCCCAGCTCACCCCCGCGCCTCGCACAGGCCCCCAGGGCCCCCAGGGCCCCGCCGGACGGCCTGACCTCAGGAAGAATCACCTGGAGCCCAGCTCGGCCGCCGTGCTGCGCAAGGCCAAACGGGAGAAGATGGAGAGCATGCTCCGCAACGACTCGCTCAGCTCCGACCAATCTGAGTCCCTGCGGCCGCCGCCGCCACGTCCCCACAAGACCAAGCGTGGGGTCAACAAGAGGCAGATGTCCGTCAGCAGCTCGGAAGAAGAGGGCGGCTCCACACCCGAATATACCAGCTGTGAGGACGTGGAGATCGAGAGCGTCAGCGAGAGAGGTACGTGTTAACTGCCCTGCCTCTGCCAACTCCCCGGGACTGATACCGTGCTGTCATTTCTAGTTAACGCTCTCCGGAAATGACGTAACAAACCACGCGCGCTCTTTGGGGCTGTTTCACATGCTGTCAAAGCACGACGGTGCCGTTATGTTTAAATTAATTTTAGGTTTTAAATGGTAGGTGAGCCATAAAATGGAATGGAGTTGCTCATATTCAGCATTAAGCTGCCGCTTATTTTCATTACACTACACTTGTCGCCTCACGGTTTTGTACATTCACACGCGTCAAGCAATCATCAGTTACTGTTGCGCCAGGCATTAAAGACCATGGCTGCCTTTAAAATAAACGAATGTCTGTAATAAATTAACAAACGGAAAAAATAGCTGCGGAGGAAAAGAAGGAAGAGGATGTGGGAGATAGTCTTTGCTGTCTTTAAAAGGGCAGCGTGTTAAGGCGAACGGTGGGCGGAATGTAAATATGGGACGGGGCAGGCTGGATCCCGGCAGACAGGCAGGAGGGTCCAGAACTCAGCGCCCGAAACCCTGGAGAATAAGCTCACCACCTGTTATACCCATCGGTAAGGCAACTCCCAGTTAACTTATTGCTACATTAACTGCACGTCTAAACCATTTTACTAAAACAGCTTATCCTATATGATCTGTTGCTATTTAGAACTGCAAACTGTATCGCTGCGTTTCCATATTGTGATTCGTTTTGATTATGACAGTAAGTGAAAGTGATTAACTATGCCGTGCTGTGTTTGTAACAAAAATGTTATTTTAATAATTGCAAGAAATTGGACTTTAATTAAGATTTTTAAGCTGATTTCTCTCTCGAAGTATTTACAGTTAAGGTACGTCATGTTCTGAATCATTGGACTGTGACAACAGTTTACTGTGCAGAACACCTGGACGGTTGTTTAAATGTGTATATTTTCTTCAGGAAGGATTTATAATTAACTATCATTTGGAAAAGTGGTTTGTTTCCCACTGCAGTCACCGTCTTGCACATGCAGGCATTTTGTGAGGACGTTATTTTTGCATTCGCCGTATGATCATAAGCAATCTGCCACATACCGCAGGCTGTCGCTTCCAAGTTATACAACAGATCTGCGGGTTTTTTTAAGTTCCATTTCCAGGGTCCCAAGGGACCGCTGTGTTTTTTTGCCCCAGCAAAGCGTTGTCATACCTGCATGTGTACTAATCGAGAGCTTGACGATTAGTTCGAGTACAATAACGTGTGTTATACTGGAATAAAAATACGATCCGAATCGGAAAATACTTATCGCGTAAAACGCGGCTACGGTGACAGCTGGAGCTGTGACGTCAATGCACTGTTACTGCGGATTTTAATATTCATTCACCGGCTTTCCATAGCCTCCTATCCAGCACAAGTTTGCATTATTATTATTATTATTATTATTATTATTATTATTAGCAGCGTCACCCACGTGTGCCCTTACTGCTGTTTTGCCCCCTTCCCTTCCGTTTATCTTACACTTTGAAGGCCCTGACTGGCCATTTGCCTGCAGTGTTTAACCTCGCCGGGGTTTTCTGTGCCTTGTTCTTCCCGAAGGATGTTAAGAAGCCCAGTCGGTTTTTCTGGTTTGGGGAGCGGCCAGCTTTTGGGGTTTAGAGCCTGTCCCCTGACACCTGGGCCACATGGCGGACAGGGAGGGAAATGTTATTTATTACTCATCTAAAATCTGTTTTCAGAGGTAGTTTTTAGCACACCGAGTACAGGAACTGGGTCAATAAATCGGTATCCTAATGCCGCCCTGCGCTGGCGGTGATCTGCCCTGGGGCGGTTGATGCCAAGCAGTCGGAGTCGGAGCGATCAATTCCGCTCCCAGTCTTTGACCGATACAAGGAATAATCCACTGAATAAAGGCGAGCTGATAGTCGGCCCCAAAGACTGACAGGAAAGCCGGGTGCCCGGTCCTGTCCCCGCACCATGGAGGGAATCCGCCCCGTGCATACCAGACAGCTTTACCTGTGCGATCAAGTAGGTCAAATGAGATTGTAAAATTTTTACTGTACACAGTATAATACATCGCTGCAGATTAGACAGTTTTAACTAGCAGGACTTATTGGTTTTATTAGAATGAGTGAGCTGAAGCTGTTTATACCCTGAAGGGTGAGCTTCACCGCATGGCACACTGTGTCAGAAGCCTGTAGTACGCGTATGGACCGATTTACACCCGTAACACAGCAGCTGCCAATTTCCCCACTTATTTCAGAAATCTGCGTTGTGCTATTTGTGTGTGTCTATTTATTGTCAGTCAGCTGACACTATATATTCTACCCTTTATGTTGCTACATTATTTATTAATGTTTACATACATAATGCACTGCATGCATGGGTGTAGGAGAGAGTTTGATACTGGGGGTGCATAATTAATAATTCAAATGTAAAGATCTATATTTTTGCCTGGGCAAATGAAACCAAATTAAATATGGGGGGTACATGCCCAGCTTGTTGCCCCTGGTTACCTCGTGGGACTGTATACTTGTTTATGGATGAAACCTGGCTGACATGATTGTTTGTGCATCCAGTCGAAGATGAGGGCCACCCTGTGCAGCGGTCCGTATAGTCCCTCAAGGCCCGTATAGTCTCTCATGGTCCGTATAGTCCCTCATGGTCCGTATAGTCCCTCATGGTCCGTATAGTCCCTCATGGTCCGTATAGTCCCTCAAGGCCCGTATAGTCTCTCATGGTCCGTATAGTCCCTCATGGTCCGTATAGTCCCTCATGGTCCGTATAGTCCCTCAAGGTCCGTATAGTCCCTCAAGGTCCGTATAGTCTCTCATGGTCCGTATAGTCTCTCATGGTCCGTATAGTCCCTCAAGGCCCGTATAGTCCCTCAAGGCCCGTATAGTCCCTCATGGCCCGTATAGTCTCTCAAGGTCCGTATAGTCTCTCAAGGTCCGTATAGTCCCTCATGGTCCGTATAGTCCCTCATGGTCTGTATAGTCTCTCAAGGTCCGTATAGTCTCTCAAGGTCCGTATAGTCCCTCATGGTCCGTATAGTCCCTCAAGGTCCGTATAGTCCCTCATGGTCCGTATAGTCTCTCAAGGTCCGTATAGTCCCTCAAGGTCCGTATAGTCCCTCATGGTCCGTATAGTCCCTCATGGTCCGTATAGTCCCTCATGGTCCGTATAGTCTCTCATGGTAAATGGTAAATGGTCTGCATTTATATAGCGCTTTTCTACTCCTACGAGCACTCAAAGTGCTTTACAATACATGCCTCACATTCACCATCCACACTCACATTCACACACCGGTGGCGAAGGCTGCCATGCAAGGTGCCAACCTGCACACCGGGAGCAATTTGGGGTTCAGTGTCTTGCTCAAGGACACTTTGATGGGGTCAGGAGGAACCAGGGCTTGAACCTGCAACCCTCTGGTTGCCGAACGATAGCACTACCTCCCGCGCCACCATCACCATCATGGTCCACTGTAGTGTAAGCTCAGCCGAGTCCGGCTGTTTCCTGTCTGCTGTCCCGGTATCGATGCTCTCTGAGGCCACAAACACGTCACGGAAAGCTGCCAGTGCAGGGCCGTCCCTGGGGGCATATGTCACGCCAAGCTGCCAGCCCCTGCACATGGGCGGCTGGGCCTCATAAGAGTGTGCCTAGCGCTGGTCGCTCGCCATCTGATGACCCCCCATACCCACACCACCACCTTCTGGATAATGGGATTGAGCCTCCTGCAGTGCAGAGAGCCTCTTCCAGCACCTCCCCACAACCCCCCCCGGCTTGGAGGCCCTGCTTGCCGGCATTAGGGCTGTAGCAGTGCGTCAGTCCAGTGACTGAGTCCCCAACTGCTGCTGTAAACTCCAGCGCCATTTGCCCTGCGTTAGCGCACCTTCCGTCAGCTGACTGCCCCCCCGCCACCCCCGGCTGACATTCTCCCTCTCCTTTCCAGGTGACTGGGACTGCTATCCCTTGGACCCCACCGTGTGGCACGTGAGTTTTCTGAGGGCGACACCGTCACGACCCCCCCCCCCCAGCCCCCCCCCCCCCCCCCCCC